CCAGACACAGCTCACGCTTAGAAGCGTATTTTACTCAAGTAAGATTTATCCTTAAGGCATTACCCTAGGTGTGGCCCTCCGTTCATTAGATCAAACACCTGAGCCGGGTTGAGCAGCTGCTTAAAGCGACGGAGGAACTTGACTCCCTGGTTATCTCCGCTCTTAGAATTGACGAACACCAAGAGAGGGCTGACACAGAATGAAAACGTTGCTCTACAGAAACCTGAAAAACAAACCCAGGACAGCATCAATATGGAGATTTTTCTCTCTTAAATGACTAACAGACATTTAGAGAAAGTAAGAGAAATGGGCAAAAACAAGGAACCTTTCTTACTGCTGGCACATCACTATAATCTAATCCCCCAGTGGAGCTAAGGCTATGATTTACATCCTAGCCATATAAAACTTTCATTTCAGAACATGCTCTGCAGTGAAAAATCACACCAAAGACAATGAAAACCTCAATCACAGAGTATTTGAAATGGACCACCAACCTTACCAATATTTATAAGAAAAGCAAATCTAGACTATGGCTTCCCAGTTGTCAAATAATCCATGTTCAGACTCGGTATTTTAAAATACTCCAGTTGTTCTTTTGCAGAGGCCTGAGAAAATACTTGATGATTCATAATAAACCAAAGATCTATCCGGGGTGGGGAGAACTATCAGGAGCTCATCCTTCACACTTTCCATCCATATATTCTTGTATCAAGAATCTGCACATGAAGTGTGGCAGGGACCGGAATGACACACTGCAAAAGCCATCTGTGACATGGCTGATGGGAAAGGAAGTAATGAATGTTCCTTCCCAAACTAGTGATGTTAGGAAGTTTCCTCAGCACTACAAAGAGCAAATGCATTTAGAGGACCACAAGATCCTGCAATGAAATTACAGGAGAACAAATTTTAATAGGATCCCATGCTGATGGGCAGTTTCCACTATGGTGAAAGAACACACATAAATGAACCTTTTAGTACTTCAGTAAAAAATGATAATCTTCCTTCATCCATTGGGATGCAAAAAAAAAAATCTAAAAGTCTTATGTATGGTGATATGACTAATGTGTTCATGGTTACACTACAACTTTCATTTCAAAATATTCATCTGGGCTGGGTATGTAGCTGAGTGTTTGGACACATGCCTAGCTATTCAAGATCCTGGGTTTTTTTTTTTTTTATTCCCAGCATCACAAAAAATTAATTAGTTAAACAATCAAATATGTCTCCCAGCATTTATAAAAACTGACCAGAATAGCAAATTACAGTTTATCATAGAAAATTAAATATGTCAGAAATACACATACTTACACTACTGCTACGTACCATCAGAATCTGTGCTATTTAGTGCAATTGGAGGTATGATAGATACTTTACACTGGCCAAGTGGACAGACGGGATGGTACAAATCTTTGCAGGCGGTGTGTACCTAATCAACAAAGAAATTTTCGAGAATCATAAAAAGAGTAAACCAATGCTTTCCTGTGTTATGAGCTCTATCTACAGACCTGCTCGTTCAGGATCAATACCATCACAAAACGTTCAGAGATTAGTCAGGCCCTATAGGCACATTACCCTGCCGAGGGACAGGCTAGCACTGTACATAAGACTGGCCTGAGCAGTCTGTGCCTTAGGCTGTCTAGAAGAAGTAATATGTATTCAGTGGATGCCTGGTGAAGGAAAGGAGAAAGAGATAGGGTGTGGGAAGAAAGGTAATGGGGAGGGAGGGAGGGACAGATGGACAGAGGGAGGGATGGACTGAGGGGGAGAGGAAGGGAGGGGAGGGGGAAGGAGGGGGGAAGAATGGGAGGGTGAAAGAGACTATCATAATATCATAGCCATAAACTTTAATAACGGTAAATAAGACCTGCAATGGGCCAGCTCTTTCGGCAGTGATCCTACAACCGGCCAGTCAAATTGATCTTAGTTTCCTTATGTATTTGCATGTGGTGTTACATGCACACCCCTGACTATCTCCTCAGCTAGAGCACTGCCCCACAAGACAGGAGAGGAACAGAAGACTCAAGCCCACCCGAGACATTCTGAGTAAGAAAACCCAGGGCCAGTTCACCGTGGAGGAGCCTGGCTGCTCGGAGGGCTCTGTGCACCTATGTGTTAACTAAGCCCCACCTTTCCGGAGGAAAACTAAAATTGAATGGAAATTTTCATTCTCCCGATGACAATTTTCAATTACGACTTATAATAATAACACAAATACATTTTAGAAAAATGAGGGTGCACAGGTAGTTTTTTTGTTTTGTTTTTGTTTGTTTGTTTTGTTTTGTTTTGTTTTGTTTTTTGAGACAGGGTTTCTCTGTGTAGCCCTGGTCGTCCTGGAACTCACTCTTGCAAGCCAGGCTGGCCTCGAACTCACAGAGATACACTGGCTTCTGCTTCCCAAGTGCTGGGATTAAAGGCGTGCTCCACCACCTCCTGGCCAGACAGTTTTAAAGGAAGAAAGTGTGAGACTCGTGGGGCAACACAGAGAGAGAGATCTGTGACAATGTCGCCGAGAAAAGCCGGGCTAAGTGCACAGGCACTGTCCTGTCAATTGCATGCTGAACCTCCAGGGTGGTGGAATGTCAGGCTTTGGTGCGGTTCTCACTTGCTTTGTGTGGCCCTTTGGACTAGGTGACGGGAGGAAGCACTGGCTACCCTCCAGCACCAGCTCAACCATCTAAAGGCAAAACAACAAGCACACCAATAAAGGATAGTGGAGGAAGGATGAGACCAAAAGAGCTGCCACAGGGGGTCGGGGACAGAAAACGGCGTGTGTAACTGACACAGACTGGGGCAGGAATAATTAGGGTGAGAGTTCAGCTTGCCAGGGAATAAAAGGGGGAGAAAGACCTCCCAGAGTGCCGCCATGCATCATCACCTTTAACAGCCACACCATTCTCTAGAACTGACGCCAGTGCAGTGCAGAACGTACCCTCAAGTACGGTCTCATCAGCTCGCACTGCCAAGTACCTGCCGAAAACTAGTGAGTCATAAAAGTAAACGCATAGACACTGCAGACCAGGACAGCCTCTCTCTGTCGCCACACAGATGATGTGCTTCCCTTGCAAAAGGTGAGACGTGAACAGCTAAACCCCAGAGGAGGGAAACAGCAGTAAAGACGCGGCGGCTAGGGACAGCAGCAAACGGGAGGCGTGGCGAGCTGCCCCCCGGACATGGTAGCTGAAAGGACGGTTTTAAACGACATCTGTGCCGGGAACTGGAGAGATGGGGAGTGCCTGAGAGCACGTGCTGTTCGGTTCCCGGCACAGACAGAGTGACGTACAACCTTCCGAGGATCTGGCACCGTCTTCTGGTCTCCATGGGTACCAGGCGCACGTACGCGCGTACACAGTGCACATACACACATTCAGGCAAAACCACTCAAACACATAATACATTTAAAAAATAATGTTGTTTGTGTGTGAGTGTTCCTTTAAAACAAGGAATAGTGTGAGAGGGCTTTGGGGGCTAGGGGTGTACTGAGATGGAAAAGACACCCGTTACAGTCTACACGTTATTATGATGTTGTGCTGACTGGCTTTTTTGTGAGCCTGACACACACTATGGGCATCTTGGAAGAAACCTCAGTTGAGAAAATGCCTTTGCAAGGCTGGCCTGTAGGAAAGCCTGCAGGGCATCTTCTTGATTGATGATTGATGGGGGCGGGG